AGACCACACACTGTCATAGACTGGTACAACACACTAGACCACACACTGTCATAGACTGGTACAACACACTAGACCACACACTTTCATAGACTGGTACAACACACTAGACCACACACTGTCATAGACTGGTACAACACACTAGACCACACACTGTCATGGCTGCAGTCTTTGCTTTCTGCACAAATTTCTCCTCGTTGTTGAGTACCATGGGCGTGCAAATGGAGGGCAAAACATAAGTCAGATAGTCGAGACCGCGCGCAACCTTTCCCTCCTTGGTTATATTTGGTGCTAAATAGTGTCACATAGGGCAAAATGTATGATTATATATATATATACACAATGTATATAATATATATATATATATATATGTGCGTGTGTGTGTGTGTGTGTGTGTGCGTGCGTGTGTGTGTGTGTGTGTGCGTGCGTGTGCGTGCGTGCGTGCGTGTGTGTGTGTGTGCGTGTGTAGACATTCGACTGAGGTAAGAAGGCACAACTTTAGCACAATGAGGAAACTATGGCCCCATGTGAAGCAACATTTTTTAAATACTCTAATTAAACAAAGGGAAAAACCCCCAGCAAAAAACCAATCCACCAGCACATAAACTAAGCACATAGAAAAAAGTATGACTACACCTTCCAGTGAACTGACTAGTTACATTCCCACGTCTGCTTGGGGGCAACAGATTTAATTTACAAAATGGCTCGCAGCTACCTACCAAGATTTTTTGAAATCTTAATCAAGGCACTTGATTCCATTTTTCACCCAGTTGACAGACGGTACAATGCAGATGACCAAAAATCTGGGTTTTCCCGCGAGCGAAATCCTCCCTAACAATCAGAGTTTTAGGGAAAATAATCAGTTTTCAGAACCCAAATGGATTAACACAATGTTACGAAATATAAGTAGCGAATACACAAGGATAGTTGACACCAAAAAACCCCACTGAAATAAAAATATGTACCTTCACATCATCTACGATAAAGTCAGGCAAACACTGCAGCAAACAAACCTTGGTATTTCCACTGTCATTTACAATAAGTTGCGTACGAAAACTGGAAATAAAATTCAAGAGAAAAATAGGATTTTATGTAAATCCAATCAAAATTCTTGGACAGGCAATAAAAAATTAATTTTTTTTAAAGTTTTAAAAAATAATTTAAAAATAAAAAATCGGTGGGATCTGACTTTACGGGACTCCTCGGCACGCCCGCAAAACCCAGCAAACTAACCAATCAGCTCTTTCCACTGAAAACCACTTGCGTCAATGGGATCAGCCACCCATGGGTTGTTGGCCGCTCCCTCCAAGGTCAGTCTCTGCGTGGGCTCACATTCCAGGAGGCCGAGCAGGAGATCGTTCAAGGCTGTCGGGGGGGGGGGGGGGAAAGAAAAAGTTGTTTTAGTTTAGTATGGGGTTTTACGGCGCTCGCAACTGCATAAGGTCATATGAGCGCGCAAAACAAAAGTTAGTTTTTTATTCGCAGTTCACTGCATGGCTTAATACGGGTCATTTGATTTTAAAATGTTAAAATATTTAAAATTTGGTGTGTAAATATTTTTTTGTTTTGATCTCCAATAACCGTCATAAAATTTTTAATAATTTAATTTTGTTCTATAACTTCCCATAAAGGCCAATGGCCTTCATAAAATCCAAAATTCTGTTGGGACCAACGACGGAAAAAATGTCTTGCAATTTTTTGCATTTAAAGTATTTCCTTCGGATCTTTCCAAAGTCTAGACATTCGGTTAAAATGTGTCTAATGGTAAAATCTGTGTCCCATCCGACACAGAACGGCTTCTCATCTCCCTGTAGGAGGTATTTGTGTGTCAGGGCTGTGTGTTGATGTAAGCTGAAACGAAACAAAGGTCGGCAGCACGGAAAGAGACGGTTCACGCAGCGTTTGCGCACATCTGCATACTTTACCGAGGAAAACCACGTGAAACTTGTGCTCGCAGGGGGTGCGTGAACCGCCTCACGGGGAAAAATTGGCGCTCGCAAATGCTGCGTGAAATGTCTCCAGTGAGTTAAAATACAAAAAATTTGAGGTAAGATGTCAAGTTAATCCTATCCGTACGTTGTGTTTTACTATCGTATCCATACGACGTGGGGAACTCTGTGCCCCAACTTTCCAAAGAGGAAATTTACTCGTTAGCATGGCAGTTTGACAAAATGATTTTTTGAAAAATACTGAAAGTTTCAAAGAGATTTTCGTACTAGAAGTTTTCTAAAATGTGAAGAATACAACCTTGGGGGTACAAAATGATCCCAGGGTGTAAGGATAGGGTTAAAAATGATAATCTGATGGTAATAATAATAATAATAATAAATAAATTGCATTTATATAGCCCATTTCCACAAAGAAGTGCTCAGTGCGATGTACAATAATACAAAGAACATATGAAGCACACAGCTCCTATAGTAATCCTCTTTCTCTCTCTCTCAATCAGTCTCAGTCTCTCTCTCTCTCTCTCTCTCTCCAGTACATCCCTGGTACAGATCTAAGCAGTGGATCGTGGCACTCACCGGCAGGCTGCGTCTCTGGCAGATCGTCGAGTGTGAGCTGGTAGGGAGGATCCTCCACGGGGAACGGGTTCACGGTGTTCAGGAGGGTGAACAGAGTCACCCCGAGCGCCCACATCTCCTGGGGCGGGCCCGAGTACCTGGGCGGAAAAAACACACACAATCGTTTGGTTTGTTTGTGTGTTTGCTTGAGTAAAGAGAAGCACATTGACACACCTATCCCGCTTACACCTTTCTCCCGTCTTCCACATCCAGTAGCCGAACTTTGACCATTCATTGTTCATTGTTTCAGGAAGCAACATCCCTGCATTCCGGACATGTGTCCATTGATGCTCCGTTGCTCTCTCCAAAATGTTGCAGAGGGTCTTTCCACTGATTGTGCCAGTGCACATCTGGTTGAACGTTCTTCTCTTTGACCCCAAAAATTTAATCAGTCTCCAATCCCGACATAGATTCAGATTACTTAAAAAACCCATTGTGGCCAATAAATGCGAACTGGAAATACATACAAATAAAAATGTGTGTATTTTCACCTTATGTACGACAAGTTGTGCAAATAAACCTGTGTATATTCACATCATCTCTATATATTATATTTGTGAAAATTTGTCACTTTGGTCGCCTAAAACTTCTGAACCATTTAACTTTTCGAATTTGAAAAAATTAACGGTGGTTCAGAATCATTTAAAAGGTGCACAGTTCTATTGAGGAGTCTGAAGTCACTATAATTCTAATTTCCGGTTTTTCATTAGTTTCGTTTAGATCTAATCTTGGGAAAGTCGGTCTTCTAAGACGCCATTGTAAATAAGTGAGGCTTCCGTTCACAAGGAGTGCGCACTGATTCCACACTGACTTGACCATCAATCCTTTTGAGTCCGTTCATTGAACGGATACTCACCTAGTTTACCATAAATTGCGGCCAACTGATAGAAACAGCTTTTAAAGAAAAAAAAAAATGAGGATTTTTATGCAAATTTGATCTGAATTCTACCACAGGCCCCAAAAAATAATTTTTTAAAATATAAAAAAATCAAGAGGCCTCCAATTTTTATCAGAGCACATGGCACTTTTGCACATCGCTCGACCACCTACGCTACATTCCTCACCTGTTCCCCGCCCAGACTTCAGGGCTGCAGTATTCCTTTGTGCCGCGAAACTCGTCGAAGAGCTCCCCCTCGGGTAACATGTAGGCCGCCGAGCCGAAATCGATGAGCTTACAGGCGAAGCTGCGGTTGATGACGACATTTTCGTCTTTGATGTCCCGGTGTAAGATGGAGTTTTCGGACAGAAACTCTACTCCTTGTAGGATCTGAGGGAAAAAATACGAATGAGAGAGAGAGAGAGAGAGAGAGAGAGAGAGAGAGAGAGAGAGAGAGG